TTTTTGTATACTTGTGTTAAAAGTCTATTTGGTGGGGTTCAGCGCAGTTTAACTTTGATTAAAGTAAGCTATATTGGCAATTCTTGGTTTTGGTGTCCTTAGTTTTTTAATAACCTTTTGAAGATCTTTTTTATTATCGTTTTCCCACATCGTGCTTAATTCTCAAGTCTACAGTTTTCAGTTTTGTCGCTTGTGTAAAGGTTCACTCTGCTCGTCTGTATGAGCGATTTATCCATGTCTTCATAGTTGCACTTAGAATGCAGTTTAATATTTGTGATCAGTAGTACTACGCGATGTATGTGGGCCTCATACCTGTACATAGGCGATGAAATAAAACGGAAAAAACTGCTAGTTCAAATAAGTTTTTCCAAACCTTCTCACCACTCTTGAATTAGATTGATTTAAAAGTCAAACCGGTTTGAGTATATATAAACACATCATTATTTGACTTTAGGAGTCAATTGGCGAAAATAGTCATTCAAAACAAGTTGAAAATTGTGTTTCTCTTTTTTATCGAAGAGATGTAAATATCGTTGCGAACTCATTAGCCTCCGTAAAAAGCACTTTTAACTCACAAAAAAGTTATATTTCATTCTATTGATGCAAATATTGGGGTAGAAATAGGTCACACACTGATTTAAAAGTTAGGTGAATAAATTGTAGATTTAGTATTAGCGTAGCTTAAAACAAGTTATGGTTTCTATCAAGAGCATTTAGTGGATAACTCTCAGGGTTTACACACGAATATTTAAGTGGACTCAATAAAAGGATTGACAACAATGCCGACTATCACTCATAGAAGGAGGAACTTACCGTCATCGAACCATTGGGAAATAGTCTTATAAATAAAACTTGATTGTTCTTTAGGTGACCGAATCAAAGGGAGTGGTTGTTGTGCTAAAAGTCAGCAATGAAAACGGTGATCTGAATGTAACCTTAAAGTTGCTGTGATTTATTCATCTACAAATCGACAAAGCCTACTGCCGCAAGTGTATTAAGGTATTTATATACATAAAGAACTACCTCGCAACTTTTTGCTCTTACGTCTAATAATAGTGAAACTTTCAAAGCACTAACCTAGCAACTCCAGCCAAACCGTACTGTGGCTCTTGTTTAGTGAGCACCAGTCACCTAACAACGCAGTCATTCAGAAATAACTCCAACTACTAAAACACTGGTCAGATGACTACTACCATACGTTTAAAAATGTAGGGACTATGTTCTGGTCAGGTAACTGAATTGATTGTTTGCAGAGGTATACAGTTTTGAATACAGGAATTATCATACCCATCGGATACAAGAGTGCTACCAGTTACATCTTAAATGTCATTTTTTACTGCTCTGTACATATTATACAAAACGTGTAGAAGTAACTCTTGAGATGTAGGCTCAGTTTTGTTAGGGTCATGAATCTATTAGTCACGACACGCGTATTAAGGACCAACAATCGTATTTCTTGAAATGAGGCGGTCTTGAGTTAGTTAAGCAGGGCTACTCAGGAATAGCTTGTCATATAAGGACCTACTTTTTAAAGCGAGGACATGCAACCACTTCTTTTTATTGTTCTGAGGCAACAGTGAAGTTAGACAAGGTTGGTTATCCTCACCGTCCCTATTTTATTTTGCGATCGGTGAAAATCTTAAGAGAAATTTAAAAAAGGATATACATTTGTGATTTCAATCGGTTATCTAAAGAAAGATTCTAACCTTAAATATTAAAAATAATACCTTTTCACTCCCATTAAATACAGGTTACCCAGACTACGTTTGACTATTTGTCAATTATCATCCGCAAATGTGGTGTATTTTGCACTGTTGCACCGCAAAATGCCTCTACTATACTGACATATCTGTGCTCTTATTCCCTCTTGACAAGGTATTGTGAATACTCTGGGAGTTCGTGTTCCCGAATAGTTAAGTGACAGGTGCCATTAGCATGAGAAAGATGTCAATGTAAAACAGTTTTGAAGCAGAGTTTTTTGTTTCAAAATACGAATCTTAGATCTGATTTCACTATGATAAGAAGAATATGAATAGAAAAGAACCAAACAGTTTTGAAACGTATTATAGATTTATAAAGTGCGGGAAATAAATGTATCTGCGTCATTGAATTTAATTGTGTCTTGTTTTTACTGTTCCAGACTTCAGTCTAAAGGTTTAGTTTCAAATACAACTTGAACTAACACTTAATGAATTGGTTTTGAGTTATTTCTCGGTCTGACCGCGCTGTTTTTTAAATTATCACTCCTACTTATATCTATAATATCCCATCGTAGATATCAGATTGGAATATATCACCTAATCATTTAGAATTAACATAGAGTTGGGAAAATTATGTATTTGTTAGCCCATGTTGTCACATTAGTTTGTAGCTGGAAATAGAGCTTTAGATAAGAGTTCTCATCATCTAACTTTTAACCATTGCGTTTTATTTCTAAGTCTCTGTTATACAAAACACCAAAGATATTATTCAATCAATCAGCTATCTTTTTTGAGTATGTCATTCTCACCTTACAACCTTTGTAAATTGGCTTCATACGATAAGTTGTTGATTAAAAATTGGTGAGTGGTATTCTGTTGAAGTTATTTCAATGCAATTAGGATTCATAAAAATCAAGATATCGAGACATTGTTTTTAATTTAATAAATCCACATATGCTCATTTGTTTCTTACTTCCATTGAGTTTTACGTGCGTTCATCTGTTGTTTCTGAATAGATTTGTATTGAAAGGTAGTCAAACCGAGCTGAACTGCATATACAATCTGTTATTAAGTACCAGTTATCAGTCTGAAGAAGAAACGGCTTTTCTCTTAATCGAACTTCACACTATTGCATCAGCATTGTTTCGGCTTAAGGTTAAGTAGTTAAACATTAGCTCCAGATCGACAGAATGTTTATAACTGTGGTAAAAGGGTGAGTACTTGTTTCTGTGTTCTATTTGTTTTGTCTTTAGACTATTTTAGTTATAAATGGTTTACGACGCCTGTAGTTTTGATGTTTCTGGTTATCCAGTGATACATGTTTGGTGAATTTACTTTTCAAAGGTTAACACTAACTTTTCTAATCATTTGTAACATTTTAACAATGAAACATAATTCAAGTTAAATTTAAGGGTGCATTTGTGTCTTAGTATGATTCTCTATTTAAAAATTATTTCAATCAAGGTATAACTGGTAAACAAAACAAATTAACTCCATTAGATGATTTTAAATAACAAATTTCGTCTAAATTTGAACGAATAGTTTCACAATATTTGGGCGCCGAGGCGAAACGTTGGATTTACTTCAGATTCTTTCGCTGAGATTTTACAAATACATTCTTCCTCTTTTTGGATGGTTTTGTTTAAAATTGATGATGATAGTGATGTTAGTTATAACCTAACTATCGAAAGAACTATGCGATACTTATCAAGTTAACATAGGCGTTTATAACCCAATTCTTCAATCAAAGTAATCCTTTTTAATCAATTTTCCTTGGGATTTTTAGTTGTTCCCAAATGCCCTGGTGGAGCCCAGGTTAGGGATAGTCCGCTCTTCCTCTCGAAATGACCTCATATGGCCACGTGTATACAGTCACTGCCACGGAAGTCTTACTCACTGCCTTCTCGCGGCGGGGTTGTTTATGAAATTGAGGGGACGAAAAGCACTTTATTTGGGTTGGCGGATACAGAAGATCCACCTAGGGGAGCCGGAAATCGATGACTCCAAACCAGTGGTGCATATGGGCTCCAGGATCCTGAGGGAACAAGTGGTGTATGAACCAATCGTTGGTCACAGGCTACCATGGGACTGCATCTCTTAACGTTGCCCCACTGCCTTATGGGTTAGACCTCTATATCAAGGACTTGGGCTCGGGGTGTAGCTCCCCAAGAATACCACCTACTTCGATTTAGGCACCCGGGTAGTATTCCAGTCCTCACACAAATCGAGTGATTTGTGTGGCACGTATGTATTCGGTGCCCCTTTGTACCAATTTTTGTGTTTAGATATATAGTGAATAAATAAATGAATAAGTGGATTGGGATACTGCACGGGCTTTCAGACCTTAGAAGATTGTTTTTTAATAAAATACTGCCCAGGTCTTTAACTTAGTGGTTTAACCTACCATTCAGTGAAACGACATCAGGAGATGCTGTACCATGGTAGTTGGTGACCAGCTATTCCCTTAGGAAATTGGAACCCATGTAAATCACTAGTTCAGAATCAAGGTTTTACAGCTCCCCTATATATATTCTCCGTATTCACTAATCCAATTCAAGCTCCAGACGTTCGTTTTTCGTCTTCTCGCCTCTGTGAGAACAACAACCTCTCCATGTAAAGCTAGTGAATAGGACTTGCCTAGCTGGGGCTGTAATCGCGCGGTCGTTTGAGAGCATTTCAAGTGGGTGACCGAATATTGTCCACCCTTGGCCGTACCAGAGAATTTAAGAATAACACTACTTTCAACCACCGTAGTCCTGAAATTCGTTTTAATATATTTGATTGCGATTTGTTTTGACTTTCCTTGTTATCTTTGAAAGCAAACATTAAGTACAGAGTTGTGTATGAATATAACTTATGAAACGTAGAGCGGTGACTTAATAGTTAAAGGGTTCAACTTTCAGTCATTAAGTCCTAGGTCCGAATCTCGTCCCACCTACTTCAGTTTGAGCAACTGGGTAGGATCATTAGCCGTGATCACACTTAAGTTGTAGCTCATACTCAAGTACCTGGTGAATGTATCAATTAATTTACATATCTTTTCATCATCGTCATTTATAGTGTATAATCTTTCCTCGTATGTCTTTTCCTGCATTATTTCATTTGATTTATGTTTTCCTGTAACTTGTAGAATTTTTATTTGATCTCTCTTTTTTGTTGTATTCTCTTGTTTTTTTTTTCTGACAACATAGTTTCTAGTTTAAAAGTGATTACCACTATCAATAGAAACAGCAATATTTTTCGAATAAGAACAAAATTGAAATCTATAAACTTAATTCACAATAGATTGTCAATTTCATAATGGTGTTGCTATCGTCATTTAGTTTTTCCAAGAGTTCAAATCATCTTTTAAGATGTCCATTCTCAAAGTTAATAGTAAATTATAGTACGATTAATAAAAGTAGTCCATTCATTACTCGTGATACTTTCAAAAAACGCACGTACTTATACTATACATTATCGTTTGGTATATTTATGGCTGGTGTCGGATATGGTACCGTTCCATTATATCGATTATATTGTAGTGTAAGTGGATTAGATTTGTTTTTTAGTTTCTTTTTGTAATAAATTTTATGATGTAAGATAAATATCTTAGACGATACCATCTATTCGTAAGTATAGACACAGTTAAAATTTATATTTAGCAAAGATAATTTATCTTAGAATATATTATAAATTTATTTATTAAGTATTAATTTATTCTTGTTTACTACTACCACCATCACCTGATATCTCGACATAATAGGCGCGATACTAAGGCACTTAGAGTAGTGGGCACATTGAAACTTAATCAATTGAATTCGATCAGCACTTAAAGGATTAGATAAACGTGATATTGGTTACTACTCATTGATTAATCACTTGCGAATATCTCAGCCATACAGGGGTCAGTCCCGGCCCAGATAGCTCAGTGGTAACGTCTTATACTGCAAAACTGAGTGGCACTGTTTTGAATCCTACACGGAGCACCATTTCCCTTGAGATTTCAGTTACGCTTTGTTGACAATTGTCAGCCAGCGCAACATGGGTCAAGCAGGGTATCCTATCGACTATTTCTAACTACTAAATAAAGTGCTATCATGTATGAAAATACTTAAGATTTACCAATCACTATTCAAAATGTCTTAGGCGTTTGTTTATCAGCATCGTCAAGGTCATTTAGTTTATCCAACTAAATTTCATTCTGTTAGGTCAGAATTTCCATACCATATTTGGAAAACAGGTGTAGTTCGTTAGTAGCCATATCAATAACCTATCGACAAATGATAAATCATAAGGGTTTGTGGATCACGTTTTTGGTGTTCAGTATTGAAATGTAGTCAGTCTTTGACATCCTGAGTGGATGCCTCGATGTCAATTTTTCTAGTATATGTCGATTATGGCTGGCAGTAGGCGAAATGCGCTTTCTGTATTCGATTACTGGTCACATTCCGAATACAATTAAGAAAAGTCGATTAGTTATGCGTACGTTTGTTTTTTTCCACCCGAATCCAAACTTTATTCTTCGCAGTACAGGCACATGACGTGCTCACTATAGAGTAGTTTCGCGAGGTGATTCCCTGAGTTCTTGTCAAAAGTCGTGATCAGTCGAGTTTAATCAAGTTAGTGTAGAGCAAGTTACTTGCCAATAGCACTAGTGGTAGACCAATGTCTCAAACTGATTGAAGTTATGTATGTAAATCATTAGATGTTAACCTAATTGTGTAACGATTAAGTGCTCAGTGAGAGACATAAAGGTCACATGTTCGATTGATAGTAGGGTCACAAGTGCATGCTGCTGTGGAGTCTCATACTTAAGTCTGTTACTCCTCTTGGGATATAAGCAGCCGACCAGGACCTTCCGATCAACTTTTTTCTAAGTTCTCCTTTTCATTTGTTGTCAAGTGCTACCCATTCTCTTGATGTCTTCCTCCGATTTCCGGCCAGATGTGTTCTTTGATCTGTCTCTATTCTTTTCACTTTGAGGATTCCAAGTTAGGACTTACTTTGTGTTACAGTTTTATGATTCCCCCAATTTGTGCCCTATTCACCTTCAGCATCTTTTTCTGATCTCCTCTTCAGTTGGTAGCTGGTTTGTTCTCTGCAAGAGTAGATTATTGCTGCCGGTGTCTGTCGAATTAATCTGGAGTATCTTACGTAGACAACTGTTTATAAATACCTGTACCTTTTTGATGATGGTTTTAGCAGTACTTTAAGTTCAAGCTCCGTATAGTAGAGCAGTCTTAACATTTATTTTGAAAATTTCGAACTTGGTCTTGGTTGATAAAGAGTTATTTTAAGTTCGAGATATTCTTCAGTTGTACGAATGTTGCCTTTTGACAATTCATTCTTTGACGCCTGGATTAAATCCTCCCTGTTTATCAATGATACTGCTTAGGTACGTAAGAGATCTCACTTCTTCCAGAGCTTCGCTATAAAGTGTGATTTGGTTGGTGTCCATTGTGTTGTATTTCAGGACCTTAAACGTTCGCTTGTGAGTGTTAAAGCCTATCTCTGCGGAAGCCAATGCCACACTGGGTGTTATCGAATGCATTTTATGCTGTGTATGGGATAGGTTTAATTCATTTGTAAAGTTCAAATCATCTAGTTGTGTCCAAGGTGTCTACTGTATTCCATGTTTCTCCCTAGGTTTGGAAGTTTTCATAATCCAGTCAACAACCAGAAGAAAAAGGAAGGATGGGAGTAGGCGGCCTTATCTAACATCATTCTTCACTTGAAGTGCATTTGTGAGCTTTCGTCCATGCACAATTTTGCGATTCAACTCCTTTTATGAGCTCCGAATGTCTGTGGTGGTCTTCCCAGGTACTTTTTGGTGTTGAAGATGATTCCATAAGGTTTTCTATCCACATTGCTGAATGCTTTCTCATAACTGAGCAAGTTAATGTATAACGATGATTACTTCATTTTTACCATTTTTTTCAGTAATCTCTTTGTTTTATTTTATTCTATATAGAAAGTAGGGGCTGGTACAAATGCGAATTTGGCATTGACAAAAAGTGAGAAAATTAAAACTATGAAACCAGTTAGAGACCGTGAATACACTGTACATTTCGCTGCTGATACACATTCGTTAATGAAATGGAATTTTAAACCATCACAAAAGGCTGTAAGTCATTGGTATTGTTTCTAACTGTTGGTTTTCTTTTTTTTCACGTGAATTTTTAATGGAATATCATTGTACACATACTTAGCATCAATGGATGTTTTTTTTCTGAACAGAATATTAGTAACATATTTCGTGTGTGTATATATATTAATCGAGAGGGCATCGTTGATGGGATTTACTCGTTTGATTGTGACCATGTTAATCAGAAAACTTGAAGTGGTCGAATTAAGTGATTTAACGGAGTTAAATACCCTAAATTCCATGAATGTTCCGCTTTTCACTAAGAGTTGTCCACGTATATTGTTTGTACAAATTCAGGTATAGTTCGTTCTCGAAAACATTTGCCACCAGGCTTTGAAGTACTCGTTTGTGTTTGTGCTTGGAATTTTACCTACTGAGGTAGCAACTGAGACGTCCAATCTCATAGATGAAGTACTACCAGAAGCATATGGTAAACTGAGCCAGCTATTATCTAAAGAACCACTACCTCTAATGAGAAACGTTTACAAAATTACAGACAGAATATGAGTTAGGCGATAGATCACCATCACACTTATTACGACAAATGTGATAAGTGATTGGCCCTTTTTTTAAAGTCGATGACGGTTTTCTTAAAGTGATGTAGATATAATGACTCCTTACTGCTGCTCTAAAGATTTTTTGTGCACCCAGCCAGCCGTTAGATCTAGAGAACCTAGCTGGCATGGGAGATAAGACATTGGAAGCCACTCCAGGCCATGAAATAAAATATTTTGTGGGCAAATATTCACTTTTAGACTTCAGTTCATGACATAATTTTAAATGAATGTTCATTGTAGCAGATGTTCGTCACTCCATTTCACGTGCAGATGTTATAGTAATCAAAATCAAGGACTATTTAAAGTAAACGCGAATCCTAACGTTATAGTACACGTGGATAAAAAGAGAATGTAAATAAGGAGAAAATATATGTCACCTCAATAAAATCACCACACTGAATAGAAAAACTAATTTTACTTGATAGTCCTGAATGTGAACACTATGAGTTCACTGAATTTGCGAAATGTTCAAAAACTCCTTAATATCAGCAGATATTTAATATTATGTCACTCCTCTGTACGTCGAAGATAAAATATGAACAATTATCCCACATAGTGTAGTTTATCCCAAAACGTATATATGTGTCAGTTACTTATTTGATATGAAAATTCACGAACAAACTTAAGAAAACAGAAGATGAATTAATCACAAATTGTATTTAGCATGCAAGGTGAACATCAGAAATGAATGTAATTAGTGGTTAATTTAAGTACAAATAAAATTAATACATATAAGCAATACATACAGAAAATGATCAGTTGTTTACATGGGACATCACGAAGATATAATTGAACAGTTTATAAAAAAGAAATACAAATGAAAATTTGTGAAGTTATTTTTATTTCTACAGATATCTCCAATAATCAACAGAAATAATTATCTGACATATAAATGCTTTCAGTGTGGAAAATGTTGAAATTATAAACTAATCTAAGTTAGACCATTATTGGAAATCTGGAAACATTGGAAGGCTGTTTCCTTCTAGTATAAGACTCCTCAGTAGGAGCGAACATCCATGACCCCACACATGGGGCTCGAACTCAGAGCCTGTGATCTCGCACGCGAAATCTTAACCTTCAAACCGCTGAGTCGATATCCAGCAGTGTAAATGTCTAACTTTAATCAATCTGCAATACTACGCGACCATCTTCCATTGTCTTCGGTGGGTAGATGCCTCCAATTAACATAGTTGGATGCCGGTTCAGTGATCTAGAGGCTGAGTGTTCGCACGCAAGACCTAAGGTTCCGAGTTTGAGTTCTGCGTACGGGCTTGTGTATTCTCATTTTTATTGAGGAGTTGCATACTAAGACGAAACGGCTGTCCAATGCTCTTAGGTTTTCAACGGTGGTCTAACTTAGATCGGTTCATGATGTCAAAGACAAAAATGTTTATTTTAATAAGACACAGTATATGAAGTCGGAAAATTCTGAGCTCGAGATATCAATGGTTAACTACCAATTCGTCAGACCGAATGTTCATACTGTACAAGTGTAGGGAAAAATAGCCGATTGTTTACATGAATCCCCCTTAGTGTTGGACAGATCCATCTTAAACAAAGTAAATCATTGTTTATATTGGAGTCTTAAATTGTAGCAAAATTATTTGTGTATATTTTACATAGATTACTATGTGACAATTTGTGTTTATTTACCAAAAAAAAATAACGAAAAAACCTTTGTAGTTAAGAATCGTACCTGGGGAAACAGCACTGGCATTTTATACAGCTGAGAATCCAACTGATAAACCTATTGTTGGCATTGCTACTTATTCTGTTGTACCATTTGAAGCATCGAAATATTTTCATAAAATACAAGTAAGTTATTCGTTTTTATGTATAATTAATTAATTATAAGCAGAGATGGACGGTAGCTAGCATTGGAATTCAAGATTCGCGTTCCGTTCTATTTGAGACTTGTCAACTGGATGTACATCTGCATTCCAGAGTTGATGTTCACTCTAGGACTCGAGCCTTGTACCATTCGCATTATCTCTGCTTAACTGCTGAGTTCACATAGCTACTAGCTCATGTAATGTAGTAAAGCTCAATTCATTTGTATTGGTTGTTTGAACCTTCCCATTGACGTTTTGGACTGCAACTGATCATTATCTTATTGACATATGCGCATTCTATACGCACAGGACGGTACTGGGTTCGAGTCCCGGAGCAAATGGCTTCTTGTTTTTAACGGTTTGGTTTTCAATCAAAAAGGACTACGGGTTCAGACTTTATTTCTATATTGTTCAAGTTGGATACCGGTTTAGTAATAATGGCTCTCATACTTACAGTAACTTGAAAAATGAAATCTAAACCTGAATATTCTCCGATAAGGAATGGGACTTTTAAAAGAGTTCGTGCATATAGCCAGCAACCAAAATGTCTTTGATTGGGCTCTTTTGTAACTTGTACAGCGAAACGTCGTAAACTTTCCACAAACACACCTGAATAGGCTATGAGACTAATAGGCAAAATGATGTGTTAAAATAAACAAGTATAAAAATAACTTGTTGAAATATCCAAATGGCAAGAGTAAGTAGCTTAGATATTCAAGCAGACCGCCTCTATGCGCCACGAAAAGTTTGTGTAAGGGCTGGGTTGCTGTCCAGTTGCCTAAACCGATGCAGGTGGTTTTTTTAGGGAGTCACTCTCTTAGCTTTTAACCTAGAGATCTAATCCACAAAGCAATGGGGCGATGTTAAGGGATGGGGTACCATGGTGCCCAGTGACTAAGATTAATTTCACACTCCATTTTTCCTTCAGTATCTTAGAGCCCGTGTGCACCATTGGTTTGATTATCCAACTTCCCTAGGTTGATCCTTCCTACCGACCAACCTGTTTTAAGCGTCGGATGTTTGCTTCCCGTCTTCTTAATTTCGTAAACAACTTCCTTGCCTCCAGAAGCAGTGAGTATGACTTCTCTAGCAGTGGTTATATACATGTGGCCATATGAGAGCATTTTGAGAAGCGCCAAATCTCCATACCCTTGGCCGTACCAGGGCATTTGGGAGTAATTGAAAGAATTTCAGCTAACATTGTTGCTCACTTTCATTCTGGGATGTTTCTGATGACGTCTTAAGTCCAATGAGTTGTATAATCTTTAAGTTATAAAATGTCATGGGACTTCTGATAGGCCAACTGGTTTAAGTTCTTTACGGTTATATTTCATATTTATAGACTAGTCACTTCTCCACTTCTTCAACCAAGTCATACTGTCAACAAATAATATTTGGCATGAAAGCTGCTGGGACGAAATCCGTAAGATTTATCCAATCATCTTACAGCGGATGTTGTCAGCATTATTTATGTATGAACATAACTCCAGTAGGATTAATTCGTATGTACTAATCAATTCCACTTCAAAACAATTTCTTTGATAGGTGAATCGTTCAGTTTTCAACCGAGTAGTAGGTCGCATGTTCAAACCACCCTTCCAATTCTATTAAGTTGCCAGGTAGTTTCGTTAACTTACCTCTAACATAAATAATATCTCTCAAAACTGAGTACGGAAACTTGTACATTTCAACTAAAGCTAGTCACATTATATGTACTGCTGTCTCAATATCTGCATTATATTATAATTTAATGGCATACAGTAAACTTAGCTAATTACAACTTTTAAGATAAATCCAGTTACATTTAGCTACTGAGTTCTGCCTTATTATAATTACTATATTGACTTTATAAGTGAACGAACCATTAATATGTAAATTTAAATTATGTACTATAACACTACTAATTATAACCTTGTTTTTAAAATTTTCTTTTGTCTTTCAATTTTTTACACCGTATTTCATTTAGTGTTTCTGTTTCGAAGAGCAACGTCTTAATCCTCACGAAAAGGTAAGCGTTCATTATCGTTTTACGAGAAAAGTCTTTTATATATATGAAACAAGTCAGAGTCCGTGTATTTGATGAGAGAAGGGTGAGGAGGGGAAAGGGTATGTTGTTGAGAGATATTTTATCGAATTCTTAATTTGATTGGTAAATCATCATGAAGATAAGTGATGGCACATATCCAATAGCATATCAACAGTGAGGTAATTCAAGTCACTACTAATAGTGATATAAAAGTCCTACCTGTTAATAAAGTTAATAGCTATCTAGTGTCAATAACTCAATGGACAAGTGGTTGCAATCACTAGATTCCAGTCTGTATGTGAATACCAACACTGGAGTGCAGGTACATTCAGATGATACGTCCTAAATGAGACAGAACGTTCGTTCTAGATTACACTCCTAATCACAATCAATGAATTTTGTTTACATTAAGTTTCGAACCCCATCGTCGCCCACTTCGGTTTGAGAAACCCCCTGTGTTAGAGAAAAAGGTATGTCTCAAAGCCTAACATACTAGTCTTGCAATTAAATCGTCTGAAATTCAACTGTTCATCTCTGCCGTTGCTAAGTGTTGGAATTAGTAGTGTGATGTTTGCTGCTTATATTGATATAAGCAGTATATGTCGCGAGTTAAAACGTAATATCTGGCAGCAGAAGATGAGGTGGAGATCAAGAAAGGAAGAGCGAGAGCACAATAGAATTTGTAAGAAAACGCATGTACAATGGATTAGTGTTTGCAACGGAAACAGTCCAGTTTGTTATGATGCATTGATATTTTGCAAATTGACGATTGACTTTATGGTATTCAGATTTTATTGAGATAGTCTGTAATTTTTGTGCTAAATACATTCGATTGTCCCCACTCGTGTTCTGTTCACTACAGTAGTATTATGGACGAAACCTTGTTTTTTTAAAGTTGATGTTAAATAAATGTTTATCTCATCATTCAATACGAGGGCAATTGGTAGTTTTATACCATTATACTTACTTGCTTACTTACCCATTATGCCTCGTGGACCATAGGTTACTAACCAGCAATCTTCAACTCATTCTGTCTTAAGTTCTTTCCAGTTGTTGCCAAGTCTATTCATCCTTTTGATGTCTGCCACCGATTCCCTGTGAAACTTGTTCTTTGATCTTCCTCTTTTCCCTTTGCCTTGAGGATTCCAAGTTAGGACTTTTCTTGTGATGCACTATTAAGACTTCCGCAATGTGTATCCTATCCACCTCCAGAACCTTTTCCTAATTTGCACTTCAACTAGAATCTGGCTTGTTCACTGCCACAGTAGGTGGTTGTTGGTAGTGTCTGGCCAAATTTATACATCATACCTTGAATATTTTCAGTGTGCATATTATTATTATTATTATTATTGGAGAGACCCAGAAAATTCCTCGAAGAAAACCCAAAGGGGCCCTGAAAACACAGGGAAACATTTTATCCAATGAGCAGTGAATAGGAGTTTTTCGGAAACATCTAAGAAGTGAAGAGCTACGCGTCACATTTCTGATTGGGTGGTTACCTATCCTGATATGTTAAGTAGGGTTCCAGAACTTTCCAGAAGCCTAAGGTCGTCTGAAATGCTATAAATACCCTCAATTTTTGTACATAAACTAATCTTGTAGTAAAGCTTTCTTTCCATATTTCGCGCATTTTCTCGCGTTTAAGTTGTGTAGAGTTAGCCTGCGGTTATTAGGAGAGCTTAGGAAACCTATTCGAGTGTTCAGTCAAAAGATTTACCAATTATTATTATTATATATTTCTTTTTCAGGTTGACCTGCCTGTATTTTTCTTCCTTGATCCGGAAATTAGTTCAGATTGGCGGTTAAAACGATGTTCAGAAATTGTATTAAATTATACTTTCTTTGAAGCCAAAAAAGCTAAATTTCATATTCCAGGAATCACAACTCCAGAATATAATGATACACAAAAGTCGGAAGTACTACCTGGGGTAGCTAGTTAGCCGGCCAGACGATAAATAACCAAACAAAACAATTTCTAGCGTACAAATCTTTTATACTCTTTAAGAAAATGTACATAGAATTGTTTCCACTAACCTTATTCATGTTTTTGTACATTATGAGTTAGTTGCTAAAGCAGTCATTTTAAAAGAAACCAATGGAAATTGGCTTCTGGATTTTTTGAAATATTCTTTTAATGAAGATGGGAGATACTACTGATCATTAATTGCTTCTGTAAGTGGTATCATATATCATGTGGCGTTGATTTGTTTGGTGATATCATTTCTATTGCAGAGTGTTTGTTAGTCTCCGGATTGTGCATCCTTGTATTACCCTGCATTATAGTGAAAGATTGTCATAATTCTTCTGTTAAGAATTACATTGGAATGAATATCTGTTCTTTTTTGTGTACAGTGGTGGGGAATGCTTTCAACCTAATGATCACATAGTATCAGTAATATGTTCGTTATGGACACCCCTGCAATCAGTTTCTCTGTCAAGTTATTTGGTTATCAGATAGGATGAAGAAATTATTTGTTTTCTTGTTGGTTAATTTTCATGAAATCTGTAGTCTTTTAAAAACTCAGTGTTCATTCTCTAATACTTTCACCTTTTGGATACATGTTATTTAATCTTGATCCATTGTTTTCTATAGGAATTTTTGATAAATCTGTATTGTTATTGTTTGGTATTGTACTTTTGTAGCTGTACACTTCATAATGTAATCCGATATTACCGATTTCAAACCATATCTCAATGTCTTTAAAACAGTGAGGGATTGCGTAATTGAGAATTCCAATATGTATATTTAGTCCGTTGGTTTTTATCCCATGTTGATTACTAGTTATTAACGTCAAACCTGCAGCTCACCGTAGAATTTGATAACTGGGAATTAAATAGCACTGGGTTTATTACTTTGAGCTATTTCCGTTTTCCTAAACCCCTGGTCTATGGAAAACATCGTATCGTCGACTGTTGGACAGGATTAACATAGTTTACATTAGCTGCCTAATTTAAAAGAGATATCAGAAATCACCATGAAGTCTTCAGCATAAAAAAGTTCCAGGTCAAGAAATCCCAGCCTCCCATAAAAAGGTTACTAAGTTACGAAATGAAAAGAACTCGTAGTTGAAGGCGTGAACTTAAGGGTTTCATGAGATGAAGAGCTTACATTTTAATAATGCATTGTACATGAATGAATAGTGATGTGCGATGAGTCTTAAGCACGATAGCTTTTTTGGTACTGTTAACGTGTGGTCCTTTTCTTACTATGATTTCCAAATCAAAGTAACGTTATCAGACATCATGACGGTTCTCTTTAGGAATAGCCAGGTAAAGTGGTGTGCAGAAGCCGCAAAACCTGAATTTTGTATACTTGTTAGGAATACCCACTTGTTCTAGAATTTTATCGACTCTTATCTCATTAAATATATTGTTAAATACAGAGTTCTCAGTTATTTTCGAAACATATGCAGTGTTAGATAAAGACGTGTATGATAATTAGGATTCCCAAATTACCGCAATTTAAGTCAGCTTCGGTTTGGGCACCCGGGCAGTATCACAGCCCTCACACAAATCAAATGAGATTTGTGTGGCGCATATGTATTTGGTGCCCCCTTGTACCAATGTCTGTGTTCGAATTAATAAATAAATAAGTCAGAAATACATCAGCACAAATGAGCGTCTGATATTTGAAATTCATAAGATGCGGGCACTTGAGTGCAAATGGACCATTAGTTCGTACAAATACCACACATGCTAAATTCATTATTGTATACCCGTTTTGGATCATTATGTCTGACCAAGCATGCTACTCTCAAATCCATTAGTTCGATTGCTTATCTTGTGCTCGGTTGTCTGACTAATTTGTTTTCCCAATATGCTTATCCTCTCGATACTTCTTTGTTTCAACCCATTCACCTGTCGATAGTATACTCGTATTATACTGATCCATTAAATTTTGAAACACGCTTGCTAACTGATGACCAGATTGAGCTCCGCTCTTGATTTTAACTTTGAACCTGTCAATCGGTCACATCAGGGCGGGATTTATTATTTTCGTTATCGCAATTCATGAAGAACGTGTTTCGTTCTCTGAAGATCTTGCTGACCTACAAGAAAAATACAGTTTTCTACTATGAAAATACCATTTCATCATGCCACGGACGTGTCAGTTGCGACGCAGTCACTCGTGATATAAGAAAAATCACGACAGCAAAGTTATGACTCCGATTAACTGTGTAGAAGAAGTTATCCCAAAGTATCTGTGATTAAGTGACTGGATGATAGTAAACATGAACGTAATTACTAACTACAATACAATTAGATAACTTGTGAATGTAATATCCTGCACACTTTGAATTCATTTCTAAACAATTAAAATTAGACCAGTATAATGCTGATTGCACTTCACATGAATTCATTTGCTTCATATTCTATTTCTAGTGCTATTTTATCCAAATATATTTGCAGATGATTACAAATCTATGTGTATATATCAATCATAAAGAAGTCTAATTCTGAAATTATTCTGATACAACTATTTCAACCTTGCTGAATCGACTTAGTGTTAATCGAGTTTAAAATGGCGGATTTGGTTCTTAATTAAAACGTCTTAAAATGACGAAATATTAGTGTGTGCGTTCTTCGTTTTATTCGGAATCAGAATAAGGTGAGTCATGCAGCAGGCTGGTTTATTACAGGGTCAGTCAGAATTAAGTAACTTTTCTTACACACATGTCATTATTTACTCTTCCAGTTTAATGCCAATTATCGCTTACACTTTAGGAAAAATCATCCCTCTTGACTTGTAGTATATTGCACTTTTCTAAAGTTCTCTAGTGTTCTTATTATTAACTCTTTCCAGGATTTTAACATTTTCACAGTCTAATAGGATCTATTGAAGTGACTTTTGCGGTTTATATGCTACAGCTATTCCAGACAGCTTCAATAATCTCGTCGCAAATTTCGATAAGTCTCTTATATACGGCAGGATGATATGTTCACTAATTTTTGTGTTACGTTTGGTCTCTGCTGACGAATTGGTTAATAATTTTTGATGAAGTAGTGTAGGTATCCGTTCATTTTAAGGATAATAAGAAGATATTTTTCCTCATTTTTCTTCACTGCCAGTTTGTTACACTGTGTTCTTAAATAAAGTTTGTACGTAGTCGATAGTGTACGTACTTTGGTTTTTGCTACCATTTCCTAGTACAAAATCTGGATTATTTAGTACTTTTCCTATCTTTTTCTATCCAAGCAAGTTCTATTTAGATGGGGATACAATACGAATTTTAATAGCCCTGTGAGATATACCAGCAAGTTCTGATGACTTTCAGTTATTGCTGCCTTGTAGAATTCTGTGATAATTAAAATAATTGTACTAACTAGCAATTCCCGAAATAACACAATTTAGGCCAAGTAGACGAGCACAACTCAAAGTATTGTATTTAGTTTTTGAAATCGGGCAGTTATCAAGTACAAAGGAATCATTAATTCATTGAAGCAACACATCCATCACAACTTAAACGAGGATCCAATTTTTTTCAATGGATTGCACCTCTTCTTCTTGGGTTTATTATGTGTCCGTCCGACTGTGTTCCTGATGTGGACTCTGTATGATCTAAAGTATATTCATTAGTATTATAATTAACAACCAACACTGGAGCAGACTCACCTGATTGCTGGAATTGTATACAATCATCACGAACTTTCAAGCACTATCCTACCCCATGAAATAGAGTCGGGTTCTTAAGTTGCAATGTCATGGCCAGTTTGAGGTTCCCGATTCACATTATCTCATATCTCGCATTTCGATCATTATATGTGGGATACACTGACATATAATTTGAAGCACCGCATCACGTGACGCCGACTTACACAATTAGCATTATGCATATACCTCCTGTTTTTCGCGTTAGAATACAAAAGGTGAATGTTTCAGTTGTGATATAAATATACATTAATATATGTGATTAACACATGTGATTCATCTAGTCTTGATTCACCTGCAAAACAACTAAATGGAAAATATGTATACCCATTAGGGTAATCTTGAATTCGATTTGGATTTTCTGCCTGTGCGAACTTCATATTTGCGGGAACAGATTCTCTGACTACTTCGGGAAAAATTTTTACTTCTGATTCATCATATCACTGATTGAGGATTCTACCCAACATAAATTGGTTGTGAGAATATTTAACATCTGATACAATAACACCAGAAATATGACTGGAATTCGGCTCGTTCGGATATATTTGTGCAATTTATTAGGAAATATCCCTAGAGATAAATCCATTGTAAAAACAAATAACATCATTTGCGACAGAATAAGGACTGTAATTGGATTTAGACTCATTAAGAACTTATTTCTCACACTTAATCAAGATGTAACTGGGAGTAAATAAATCATTAGGATAGACCACATCTGGTAAAATAACACCAGAATTCTGACCAGGACTTGGTGCTCCCAATATATCTTCCACATATTTGGAAATAAGTTCGTTAGAGATACATGAATCATGAGAACAAAGGATAACTGGTAAAATAATACCACGGATCTGCTCAGAGTATGATTCATTCGAAGGATTCAAATTAAGAGGATCAGAGTTACGAAGTTCAGTATTAATTGCAGCGAAATGAACAGTAGTATTAAAAACCGACCGAATCTGTCCAAACTTACTGCGTTTAAAACATTTAGCATTATGAAATTCACATGAACTAAATGACTGAAACCTGCCACAGGACAAACGTTTAACAGACTTGTGTCCGTGTTCGTGACCTGCATCACAACTCCCCGAAGGATCATTTGCATAACCTCGAGTACTCCCCGGGTTGGGAAGACATAGTAATGTAGTGAAGTTTCTGATGTCCTGATGAATCATCTTTTTTTTGGTTGAAATTTTGCCCCTTTGTAGCATTCGAAATTTGTATAATTTACATGGTCTATCAGTAGCTCCTTGAGAGTTGTATATGGAAGTGAAATAGGCTGTTCTGGAAATCCCAGAGAATTTAATAAGCCGTATGCTTCCTTGCTGACGAACGTAAGGAAATGAGCCATCTTATTATGATCATCAACATCTTCCTTGATCACAGTCCAGATTTTTAAACCTTCCATATTACCATTAAAAGTATCGATGTTTGAATGTATGTCTAACTGTTTCATTATAGGCTTCATCGCGACGCTAGTCTGATGAGTGGAATATTTGAATTGTTATGCGAACTAGGAAATCCTGAAATAACACAATTTAAGCCAGGTAGAGCTAGATGAGGACAGTCGGACGTATTGTGTTTAGAATTCGAAACCAGGCAGTCATTAAGTACAAAGGAATCACTAGTTCGTACAAAAGCCACAAACGCCTGACGAAATTATGTAACAGATATAACTCATCAACTATCAAATCGGTGGCTATTTATGCATACTGTAGTGGAAGTCAAGGTTAATAGTTCGCTCCGTGCCATTCACCTGCACAAGACAATTACTCTAATATGGAGCGTGTATGCTTGTCATTTTGGGTAAGCAGTGATAAATGGTTTGATATATAATTAGTCAGCAAGGATTTTGACTATCTTCCTCAGAACACTGGAAATTATTTCTATTAAAATAACAAAAAATATTTGAGTATTTCAACCATAGAAACGACTGAGTGTGTAATCGATGAAAAAATTAAGTGGAAGCGAAACAGTTTTCAATCTAGTGAGTTAATCAGACGGGTGATGTTTGTTTAAATACACCACAATGCATTGGTTGTCAAAGACTCATTTTTGATTTGCGCGTTTTCACACACATAATTATGTCAAGCACAATGGGTTCAAATGCTAGAGTTCACAGGGTATCAGAAATTAAAGAATGGTAATTTCTATTACACTTGATATTCGCATAGATTATTTCGCACTTTTGTATCTATTCTTGTCAGTTTTTACTTCAAATGGATAAAAATTGAAATAGTATTACTTTGAGTAGCTATATTATACGAGAATGATTTCATAAATTTCATCAAAACGTTTTTATTTAATAAAAGAGCTCAATAAAGACGTGGTTCTGTCGATTTCACACAGCATGTCTTAAATATTCGTAATGCAACTAGCCTCGTAACACGTGGCGTAGTTATTACATTTAAATGTGCTATATGTTGAAATCGTTTCCATTTTTAATGACCTTTATTATACCAAACGTAAATATCTAGTTAGTGTATGTAGCAACTGCCACAAAGCGTCACGTCATTTAGTCATCCTTTGACGCTGGTGAATTATTGTTATAATTCTATGTCAAAATATCAAATTGCTCTTTTTGAAATACGACAACCAAATCTTTTTTATTTTATAAAATCTCGTTTTGCTTTTTGTTTCGTTGTCACTTGATTGAACAGGCACTTTAGGGATATCAGAATTTTGGATTTAAGTTAGTGATCCTTGTTTTTTCCAAACATTGGATCTCTTGACAGTTTTCATGAACCAACTCAGGTGAAAGTTGGCAGTTTGTAAAAATCGGGCAACCAACCACCTTGAAGTTAGCCTCTTGAAACTATGGTAAATAGTATACTGTTTGTGTGTTGGTATGATAATTAGAAATATTCGAATTAATGTACTTACTAAGCATTCCCAAATTAATGCAATTTAAGTCAATTTAAGCACAAATGATCATTTTATATTTGGAATTTGTAATATGCGGGCATTTAAGTACAAAGGGATCATTAGTTCGTACAAGTGCCACATCCGCCACAGCTTAAATGGGGATCCAAATTTCTGTATTAGATTGTACTTCTCCTTAGGTTTATCGTATGTCTGTCCGACTGTGTATTAGATGTAAGCTCTGTGTAATATGGTTCCTGGAATTGTATTTGATCTATATTTCGGTTGTGCGCATTCAAATAACTGATATCTAGGATTCGAAATATAGACTTTCCAATATTCTTCAACACAATTCCAGTGGCTAGTCGAAGATCATTTATACGATAACATATAACTTCTGAAGACCCTAAACACCTCATGTTCGGATAAAGCATCCTTCCTTTTAATAACTTTGATGAAATTTGTTACGTTACGGGATGCCTAGCATTTCTGTATTGCAGTAGAAGTGTGATTACTACTCTCTCTATTTCATCAAATGTTGAAGCAGATATAAGATTAATAGTCGTTTTTAGTGTCCTGATAGAATTTTTCACCTGACCACTAGAACAAGGGTGACTGAGAGCAGTTAAATAATGTCTGCAATCCACAACACCCAACCAGATAGTGACTGTGTCTGCAGAACATTGAGAGCCATTATCAGTTGCTAATGCCATAGGATCCCCGCTTTCGACTATAAACGTTCCTTTACGCTTGAGTTGTGGAGTTAGACTTTGGTGAAGTTGTGAAAAAAGGTTCAGGCTACATGAAAAAAGAATCAGTGACGATAAGTGCATAGTATCTGCCGAAAAATGAGCCACAATATTTTTCATGAATTTTCTGCCGGGCCTCAGGCGATGCTGGCCATAGAGCCCAATTCAAAGGATAATTTTTTGACCTATGACGTCTTCCACAAGTGTTTGTTGTACGACATATATCTGCATCCGCAGCTAGCACACTGCACATCACTGAGTAGCAGTTCTTTGATAAATTCATGTAACAGTGAAATCGGTTTTTCTGAAAAAGCAAGATTATTTAGCAGATTATAAACTTCTTTACGGATTAATACTAGGAAATAAGCTGTAAATTTATCATTTTAGTGTCTTTTCTTGTCATACACCAGATTTAAAACATCTCCATTTAGTCTTCAAAGTCACCCACACTTAATTACTATCCAACTGTCCAAGATTTGACTCAATCGTGATGTCAATGTAATAATTAGAAGTACTCGGATCAATTCGTAATTCAAGAACTCCCAAATTAGTGCAATTTAAGCCAGGTAGAACTAGATGAGCACAAATGAACGTATTATATTTGAGCTTCGTAACATACGGGCAATCAAATACAAAAGAATCATTAGATTGTGCAAATGTCATAGTTGGTGACTGTAGTCATGATAGAGAAATAAACGACCAAATGTTTTACATATTGTTCACCAAACGCCGGCGTTTTTACTATATAATGGTTTGACATGAATCTTCCTAGAAAATGGTCAGCTTTTTATTTTTAATCCTTGTACCTGCAAACCTTAGTTTGAACTTAAATAAAGGCCTAGAATAAGCCTAGATTGTCCAAATTGTATGACGTGGAGTTTCGTGAGCCCAATATACCTGATACTATGTGGATTGGACTAATTTGTTTTACGTTTCTAAACAGTATTCTGTCTAATAAGACTGACTGTAACATATTTTTGGATTTAGTGCTTCAGTGATTATATCTTGTTCTTTCTTCTTCCTATCTTTTGGTACATATTAAAACAAACTTTCAATCCTTGTTGCTTTGGGTAGTTAAAGTAGACCGCGGATATCAGTGCCTTGTTAGGATTGTGATTAAAATTTGCTAACCAGGGGGTTGTTATAGATCCAGTATGATATTTATCTGCTCTTTTAACACCTTCCGTCCAAAATCACAATTAACCCATCTTTACGAGTGACAACGTTCTTGAACATCGTTTAACCTAAAATATTTTCTTTAGTAAACCAGAATAATTAGTTACTAATAAATATGGTTATTTCATTTATGTTTCCCTCTCTACGTTTTCTGCTGATTCCCGAATTTATTGAGTAATTTTTTTAAAACTCTGTGTGCATTCTGTCTCTGCTCTTTTTATTTCGTTGGATTCGTCGGAATAGTTAACATTCTTTAGTTACAATGACTGAGACAGTAATGGTTTGTTAATCTCATGATAACCTCTTTTGTAGACTATTTAATCTCCAGACCATTATTTCAAAGATCATTAATATTATTATTATCTACTTGTATTCATTGTTGATTGTTAACCCGTATTATGTGTCCCTGAGAAATTCCAGTTCACTTCAGCCATAAGTTATCCAAAGATGAAGATGACCATCAATAGATTAAATCATCATTTATTATTTGCTACCGATACATTTTAAATAAAACTGAAATAATTTAGTTCTTACAAAGTTTTCAGGTTCTTCCACTAGAGAATAAAATAAGATTGAATACCTTATGTCTTAAAACACTTTATGCATTTGGATTTAGAATAAAAGCAACACCAGTCCTGTCTATCAGAATACAAATCCTGTCTCAATGTGATCAGTTGTTTGGCTTTTATTTTCTCGGAATTCAAGGTGTACCAAATGTTCTAATTTTTCTAAAATATGACAAACAGAAGATCAGTATCAAGTTCAGGACCTGCATTTTTATTGTGATGTCAAGTATGACATTAATTCATATCATCTTAAATTGTCTTCAAAACAATAAGGACTTGAGTCATGCGGGAAGTATATATGTCGCAGTGGTCAAGCTGACAGTAAAGTTTGTCATTTGCTATTGAACCAGCAAGAAAGCGAAGTCGCTCAGTTGGTTATGTACATCTATGAATGTTACCAACGTATCCACTTGCAGTAGTTAACATACATGTTCAGTTCGTTACATTTTTTTCAGTAATTCATATCATGTTTGAAGTTTAACAACCATAAGACATCAATGTTTCGTTACGCTATTTTTGCAAACTCTCAAGTGTAGATTTGCTTGCTTGGTCAAACTTCATATTGCGTACGTTAATTTTCTACGTTGAAGTCGTATATTAATCTTAATGATGGACTCCATTTGTCAAAACCTTGGCACTTAAGGCAACAAGTGTTCATTTTTATCTATAGTATAAATAATTGGCATTCACATGCTTATTTTAATTAACCTCATATGGTAACTCTAAGAATAATCTTCCAGCCTTGTGTTATTTTCTTGACCAATTTTATAAGTTTAATTCACTTGGCATTATTTTGCGTGTGCCTTTCCATTATTGTTTAGGCACCCCGTGCCGGGCTGCCTCGATATTGCCTCAAGCCACAAGTTTGTAAGTAAAGATGGACAGTGGCTAACAGTGGGATCCTAGATTCGGTCCGAGTCCCCGAGTGAGCATCAACTCTGAGATGCAGGTACACCCATCCCAAATAAAACGAATTGCGATTCTCGGATTCCACTACTAGCCTTTATCCATCTTTGCTTACAATTTTATAGGTAATGCAGATATAGAGATTGTAGTAAGATAATTGATTTAATATACATTTATCTTCTGAATTACGTTTTATATTGGTACTCTATAAAAGCCAATATAAGGCGTTCGTATGTGCTGAGACTAATTCCATTTGCTTAGATTATCGTTGTGTGTTAGGTAACAATCCCTCGAATCATGATGGATCTAGTATCGTTTTAGAAGTACCTCTTATCGTTCTTATTTTCGACTCAAAGCGTACACAAATCACAGCTGTGTGTATTGTACATAAATGTCAGTTCTCAGTTTCCATTTTGGTACCCACTGTATCTCAATAGAATAAATGACTAGTTTTGTCGGTTGATGCAAATTAATTTCCGTCGAATCGACAGTGACGACATGGTAGGCTGAAGTGAATATTAATACGGAAAATTTCGTAGGTTCCTGTTTTCATGAGCTGATATTATTCATGCATTATCCCTATGATTATAAACAATTGTAGTAATAAGCTGAGGTTGTTTGTAGTTTGGTAGCGATCGAAGACCATAGAGTGGACTTCTTGTAATGTCTGTAAATAGTTCCTACCGATCTTACAACTGTGGTTTGAGTTTATTGCATACATATCATCCAAGCGTACACTTGTTTACTCTCACAAAGAACAGATACTTTAAAAAAGAGGAACTAATGATCAGAAAAAGGCAGTGGAGTCCTCTTAGTTATTTTGAAGATGGTAAAAATTGACATTTCGTGTTACAAGTGAATATAATTAACCATAGGCATTATTT